GCAATTACAACCTTGAGCAAGCGATCATACTTGGTGCTGAAGTCAGGCCTACCATGTGTCGGACCGGACAGTTGTTCAGGGAACAAGTAGGAGAGAGGGTTTCGGATCTTCCAGTCGTAATGCAGCATGTTCGGCGTCATACCGGTGGAGGAATGAATGAAGTTGTTATACAACCCGTTGATCGTATACTGCTCTTCATCCCACATTCCTGATTAAGGATAGTCAACGCACAAAGAAGACGAAACATAGTCTAATTAATCTCCTCAGCCAAACTGTTGGTTTCTGGATGTCGACTACATGTCATCTTTAGTTGGAGACCATGGAGTTGGAAAGTGAACTCCTTTTGATCAACAATTATGAAGCGCGAGTCGCGATCACTCACAAGGGTTTTCGGGGTCACGTACTGCATAATATACTTATGGTGAAACTCATGGATCACGAGTTTAGTTGGGGCATCAGATGATAATGAAATCAGATTTAGGAATTTGGAAAAATGATCAACAATCACCATTTCTTGCGAATATTCATTCTTATTTGTCTTCCCCATGTTCGTGAAGTCGATAGAGACGGACTCTCCGGGACCATTGGAAATGGGAAGAGGTGTGAGCAGCCTCATAGATTTTTGCCTTTATGGTTTGATTCGTTGACAGACTTGACACTCAACCATAAACTTCTCAGTAGATCCTTTTATATTTGGCCTGTCAAACTGTTTCAGCAGGTTTCCGTTGGTTTTTGCAATGCCGAAGTGTCCACTCTGATCGTGAGTCAAATCCAAGAACTGTGTGCGGAAAGGCTCAGGGTGGCGAGACAATGCATCAACAACTCGATTATAACATCCGTTTTTGTGATTCAATTTAAACTGAAAAATATCAATCTCATGCAGCCAGCAGACCAATGTAGTGGATAAGGTAGTTTGCTCCTTAATCCACTCCAAAGTCTCGTGATCTAATAATACTTTGAAGTTGTGTCCCAAAAGATAGTGTTTCCAGTGGTCGAATGTCATACGCAAAGCATAAAGCTTGCGCATGTATACCTTTTCGTTGGATGTGTGTTTGTTGTAGTATTCCAGTGGAAAAAAAACCATCATCATCATCTTGTTGCAGCACATCGCCAGCCCCATATTGACTCACATCCGTAGTGACTAAGGATGTGAGTTTGTGATCCACAATGTGGAGCACAATATGACTCACCAAAACCTCTTTCAAGGTTTCAAAAGCAGTCTCACATGCTTCATTCCATGTGTAAGATACTTTCTTGCTTGTTAGTTTGGACAATGGGCGAGCAATGATAGAAAATCAGGGCTTAAACTTCCGCACTAGTGGTTAATGGAAGGCCAAAAATTCGGGGTTTCTCACCACATCGATACAAGCAATGTTGTCAAAATTTTTGCGAACAAACTATGCAGGGTCATAATACAAACATAAAAAAAACAATCGGACAAAAAAAAACGAAAAAATCAAACTCAAGAGCACTATAAATCCCTATTCGGAGTACCTTTCGGAGTTCGCCAAAGTTTTTGTCGAGTGTGGTGTTTTTGCTAAGTTTTTTGTTACTGGTTCAAATACGGCGAAACTGTATACAGATATACCCTAAAGCACATATAGTATGATGCAAGACCAAGAAAAGAACGCAGTTCCCGCATATTCAAAGGTTGAGGCTAATTGCGTACAACTTCAACCTTGGTTGCCTCAGACTTAAGACCTGCAGCAGAGAACCAGCGTGCAAGATAGATGACATTGTCCCTCATAAACTCAGATTTATCCGCGTTAAGAAAAGAACGCAATTCCCGTATATTCAAAGATTTTCTTTGTTGTCTTTGCTTCGTGTGTATGCATGGAATGGATGTGAGCCCCTTTCTTTTGCGATCTTTTCGGATTTCTCTCTCCTCTTGCTCTATGATGCATGCTTAGTTATTTCGTTACTTTCTAGTATCCATCTGTGTCGAGCAATAGTCCTAAGTCTGATCGAAAATACTTGCTACGGACGTCTGGATTTAACCATCAGATCACCAAGAATGTTGTGATGCCCCCCCCCCCCTTTCTTTTTCCCTTCATCACACGAATGGCGTGGATGTGAATGTAATGACTGGATCTCCCCCGGGATAGCATAGGCAGGATAGTTGCATGCATGTAGGAACACAATTGATACACCGACATGAGGAACCCGAGTCTGATCCGCTTTCGCTCATGTGCACGCTCACGTACGACCGCGATCTCGAGAAAACCGAGTCGCAGCGTATGCGCGCGTCTACATGAGTCGATCTCGAATTCATTATGAGGATGCGGGAGACCGAGTCACTAATTGGATATGGCTGTAAAACCCCCCTCTCGGATCACCGATTGTGAGAGTTTGAGGGATCCGGAGTATCGTGAATACTGGGAAGGTGATCATCTCAGATGGCGGGGAAACTTGAGAAACGTAGAATTCCCCTGTCTGACGGAGAATGATCGACTATGCGCGGGAGACTTTCACTGGGTCATAACTAACGATCCTAGAGGACCGGACTATTCAGAGACTAACAACACTCAATATTACATATCTTTGGGCTTCGTCGTTGTTAGTACCAATTTCCCTCCCTTCCATCTCCTCCTTCCATCTCACCAGCTCACAGTGGTACCGTGGAATTCCATAGCTCGCAATTGGCCCCGCACACTGTGCAAAAAGGGCCAGCGGCACCAGGCGTATCGAGCTTCGGAAATTACCCAAACCGGAGTCGAGCGGCGCAGACAACTGTTCGAAGCGCGCGACAGCCACAACGACCCACCGGTCCACCGGATGAGGAACCGACCACAGCGACGCAACTGGCATAGACGATAATCCCAGGCACGATCTTCACGTACCATCTTGCACCGTTGTCCCTAAACTTGCCACCAGAGATCTCAGTTCCGACCTGGGACTCCACCTCCACTTCTATAAAATCCTTGGCACACCCCCTTTTTTCGCACTTCCGGGCCCCCATCCCTCTCCGATCAGGAAGTCGCATTGGGCATGAGGTTGGGCGTCACATCCCCCTTTCCCCCTCTGGTAGGAGGCCCTCCATAACCCTTGTATAATTCTTAGCCCTCTTCCATAACCCTTGGGCGTGCTTGCATTCCAGGAAGCAGTGAGTCACTGTTTCTGGTTGTTTGTCCGGACACATTGTGCAACGTGAGGATCCTTCCGTTCTGTCTTCACTCTTTTTTTTTTTTTTTTTTTTTTTTTTTTTGGAAGAATCAAGAACTTTTATTGCCAATGCACAGAGGCCGGGAATACCTCACAACACAACCCGGAAAATTCTGGGGCCATTACCCAGCTTGGCTCTGCTGGAAACCGGGTCCAGCGTCCCTCCAGCTTCCATTCTAGATACATCGGCTTCACTCTTTCGTCTCGAGCCCAGCCAGACATTCACCGGAACTGTCAGCGACATTATCAGCCATTGAAGGTGAGGTTTAATCGCTACATATATAACTATCGCTAATGTCCTGCCTGTGACACGCAGACGATCGGGCCCCTCCTATCTTTTGCTGCGCTACGGCCCCTATCGTCTGCTGATCGTTTTTTCACCACGCTCTGTACAGGCCCTTCCTGCCTACCCCGGCATTGCGCATTACCATGCCCACGTGCCTACAGGGCCAGCGCCGGTACCACGAACTGTTCTGGGGCAATGCGCTCGTGGAACATATAGTAACCAACTTCTGCGTACACACTACCCCGGCCTCTCCACAGTTGGACTACTGACACTCTAAGCTACTTGACTACTTGGACTACAAACACACTATGGGGCTCGCTTCACAGGCTGTCGAAACTCGAATAGTTTCGACAGGTGTCAGAAAAAATTCGAAAGTCGGTGGTCGACAGTTTGCCCCCCTTTGGCCACACAGGCTGTCGCGGGGCAAGTTTTTTGGTCCTGGCCAGGCGGACGGGTTTCACGGAAGTTGACGGAACAGTCCCTAACAATGCAAATTCAAACGCAATTTTTGAAAGCTCGGCGGGCCACTGTAGAATTTATTTATTTATTTATTTTAATTTCCGTCACCTGGAGCATGGTCCCACTATCAAGGGGATAGGATAGAAAAGAGTTTGTGTGGCAGTTGAGTGACCCAAATCCTGCCGAGTACTGATCTCACGGTCAGTATTTTACATGTATTACCCGAAAAAGATCTTGGTTCCCCTCTTCCTCTCCTTAACACTGGGCATGCCTGTGCAAAGGAAGCTTCCCGCCAAAATCTTTTCAATCCTTTGGGGGTATGGCCAACCCCAAAAGAGAGTGGGGTAGGCCATAGGCCCACTGGATAGAAGATTTTCAGTATTTTGCTTGCTGTTGTGCAATTATCTCACTGGGTGGAGCCCTCCTTCAATCACGGAGTATATGGAGGGCGTCAGGATCACTGCTGACAGAAGTTGAGTTTATTCCAGAAAATGTGGCAGTTACTTTCTGCACTGTTGTTGCAACCTCCCCCATCAGATCATTTGTGATCTGATGGCTGGGAAGCACTCTGCGGTGATTTCAGGTGGGAGGTCTCTGTTTCTTTTTTTTTTTTGGCCTTTCTCCTGTTTTCTCACCCCAGAAATTCGTAATGAACCTGTCAGGCCGCTGCCACTCAGTGTCGCACTGGATCGGCCACACTCCTATCCGACTGCTAATGGGACCATGCTCCTGCATGCTGCAGTGGAGTACCGTTCTGACACCTGTCGAAAGTCTTTTTTTCTTTTTTTTTTAAAGAAAGGGCGACGGCCTTGAGATATTATCATTGAGCTGACCTGCCACAAGCAATTCATTAGTAGTTGGTTTGTACTCATCAAGTTCCATCATCTGGATTTGAACACAGGTCTGTATTTCAACAGTTCATGGGTGTTCCCACTGAGCTAGGCTCTTGGGTTCTGTCGGAAGTTTTTTGAACCGCAATTCTTCGAAAGTCTGTGTGGCCATGCAAAATTGTCGAAACCCGGGTTTTCGACAGCCTGTGTAGGGGGCCTCTAAGCTACTCGAAGATGTTGTCGACTGGACTTTGCGCTACGCGTTCTACACACACACACACACACACACACACACACACGCATGCACACATGCATACGCACACGCACGCACGTACACACATGCACAGAATGTCGGGGTTCAACCTCCTGATGAGTCGGTGGAAGCCCGACGAAAGACTCTGGCACAGTCATGCGTCTTTTTGAGTGTATAGCGAATATGACGACACACACACACGCACACACACACACATAAACACACCATCGTCTCTCTCTCTGACACACGCACGCATACACACACACGCGCACAAAAAGAGATTGTTGTTCCTAAGCTTTTGGTCGTGCTGGAGATTGGGCTGTGCATCGGGAAGGGCTCTGCATCCAAAAGGTTGGACGTGGGTTAATTTGTGCTTTCCTTTGTTCATTTCTGCTGCTTTGTGTGTGTGTGTGTGTGTGTGTGTGTG